CAACCTGGCCTTGGACACTTCCAGGGATCCAGGGGCAGCCACAGCTTCTCTGGGCAACCTGTGCCAGGGCCTCCCCACCCTCACAGCCAAGAATTTCTTTTCAATATCCAACCTAAATTTCCCCCTTTTCAGTTTGAACCCATTCCCCCTTGTCCTGTGACTGCAGTTCCTGATGCAGGGTCCCTCCCCAGACTCCTCGTAGGCCCCTTCAGGTACTGGAAGGAAATCTAATCCCAAACTCTCCAGATGTAAAAGAGAAATATAAACTCTGGCCTTTTTTCCCCCATTCTCTGTCAGCCCTGAGGTTTCACTGGCTTCCTGCTGCTTTATTGTCCTAATGGGTTTTATATTTCGTAGCACTGCGTTGGTTTTTGTTCTGCAATTTTTGCTTCAGATTCTCTAGTTCTTCTCCTTTTAGCCCTAATCGTGGTTGTCAGTTGTTGAATCAAAAAGGAGTGCAGCTGCAGGCTTGCTTAGAGCATAATAGTACTTTTTGGCTCATTATGGCTACACTTTGCCTTTCTTGGGGTTAAGAGTCAATGTCACCACTTTGCTATTTCTTTCAAAAAAACAGAGATTTGAAAAAAATCCCCCTGGGCTTCCTTTCAGAAGCAGGTTATACACGGTGGAGGATGCAGCTTTAAGGTCCCTTCCAACCCAAACCATTCCAAGATTCTGTGATTCTATAGTGGAAGACAGTTCATTGCTTGATTTATTCTGCACTCCTCTAAATAGGAGACACACCCCGGAAAGCAAAGCAGACCCCGTTTCCAGGTGGTGAGGAGGTTTGGTGCAGACAGCAATGCACAGCCAAGGGAGAGAAACTGGAGTTCACCACCACATGGAACAGAAAGTCTGAACCACATTATCAAAACCATCTGATTTTTAGCTTTGTTTGGTGTCTTGGAGCTCTCAGGGTGCACACCAGGATTACTCCAAGGAAGTTTTGAACCACATTTCAGGGGCTGAAATCAAGTGCCCAAAGAAAAGAGCAAGTAGGACGTGGAGGCCACGGGGATGAGAAGGACAACCACACCAGGGCTGAGCTGAATTGATTGTAATGGCAATGAGTTATCACAGGCTTGATTTCTGACTTCTGCATTTTAATTTTGGAGGAAGACAACAACCTGAATGAGGCACAAACAGCTGTTCTGACAAATGGGGAAAGTCTGGCAAAGAAAACAGAAATACAAAGTAACAAAGTTTTGAAGTAGTTAATTAAAACCTGGCTCAAAGGCAGTACCAGGGTTCTGGGTCACAGTGGTCAGCAGAGCAGCCCCAGCCTATGAATATTCATTCTGAGGGCTCAGTCCTGGCTTCAAGGAAGGTCAGGTCCTCCCTGCTTTTCTCAGCAGTCAGGGAAATTGAGAAAGCAGGGGTGGGTAAAGGAGCTGGAGCAGGATTTTACATGGAAAACATCTTGTGTTCTGAAGGACAAGTGCAGTGTGTTGAAAGGTGATTGAACTATTTGACCAAGAACAGGGAGATGTTCAAGAGATAATGGGAATGCAACCTGGCAGAACTGTTACTTGACCAAGAACAGGCAAATGTTCAAGGGATAGTGGGAATACAACCTGGCAGTGGTACAGGACAGCTGCAGGATTGGAATGTAGTTGCCTTTCAGCTGTGTATGTGCTTTAATTAATAAAAAAGAACAAAGTTAGATATGAACAGAAGTTGTTGGCAGTGCTAAGACGAGAGCCTGGGGAAGCCATGGTCGCAGCCACTGGAGACAGGAGCCCAGGATCTGGGAATTTCAGAGGTGTGAAGTTTGCTGTCAGTGCTAAATCTTTAAGGATGGTGATTGAAGGAGAGCTTTTTAGTCCTGGGCGTTTCTGTGAGGAAACAGTGAATGCCATGGTAGTCAGGGAAGGTAGAACAGTGAAGTGCTGCTGCCCTGAAACAACACAAGGGTTAAGATGGGGATTTTTGTTCTAGCTAAAAACTATGACTAAGAGTCCTTTGACAGTCAAGAGGATGTTTTAATAAAGCCATTGGTGCAAAGAAATGCAGTATATACCCATTCTGAAGCTTCCCCAAGCATCTGTAAGCTATGGCTTCAATCAAGCTTTTGTGTTGCAGGGCAAGGAACTTGTTGTTAGCACCAGAATCTGTAAGATGATTGTAATTTGAAAAATGAGAGGATTTGTTCAGTAGAAAATTGGGATTAAAGCAGGGAATGATTCCATGCAGTAACTCAAAGCCTGATGCCTGTACAGGTGGGATGCCGTGGGAAAGCTGTGGCAGTGATTAGGAATTCCTTTGAGAAAGTATCAAGGACTGAACCATTGTGAAGTAGTGCAAGATAAATAGTAATGAAATGATGAAGGACTTATTTTGATTAAACTGGGACATATTTAACAGTGGTGGAACACCCTCTCACCAGGGATGCCTCTGCCTGCCTCTCTGCCTGAAAGACTTGATGAATGCCTGGTTTCAAAGTAGCATAAATTTTCTGTTGATATTTAATTGACAAAGCCACAAATAGAAAATAACAGTGAGAGCACGTTTAAAATCATATGGATGAGCTGTGCTTTTGGGCCAAGTTTCTAACGGTCTGTGTAGGAAGATTTAATCATTGTAAACCCAGTAATATGCAAAAAAATGCTGCAGATTAAAAATCTGCAGGTAGGATAATAACTGAAAACCACAGCTTATGCTACATGTGCAGGGATAAAAGTAACAATGCCTTGGAGCTGCATATGGTGAGATAAGGCAGTAAATGCTGGAATGTTATCCTGGCAGCGTCAGACATTCTGTGAGACCACATTTGGGCTCCCAGAGAACAGTGTTGTCATACTGCAGGGGTGCAGCAAAGCACAGACACCTCCAGTCAGCTTTTGGGGAACACTGCCTTGGAGAACTCTCAGCCACAGCTGTCTGGAATATTTCTGGAGAACCTTGCAACGGGGTCAAACAGCAAAGAAGCTGCTGGAAAGTGAGAAGTGGATTGATGAGAATTAGTTGCCTCCACTTGACACGTGGAGATGACAAGTACTGGGATAAGATGAGGAGAAGAGGCTCTGCCAATGTGTTTTGGGCATGAAAACCAATTAGCAGGGAGGGTGAGGAGATGAGCTGGAGCCAGAGTGTGAAAGAAATGCGTATAATCAGCTTGGGAGGAGAAAGTGTACTGCTGAAAGATCCTCAGACTGGAGCAGGAGCTGGGGACTAATGTGCTGCTTGCCGGGTGATTTGTGCTGCCTGACTCTTTAGGGACACGTCTTGCCTGACTCTCTGAAATTTTCTGGACCTGTCATTTCTCTCCTGCCTGTGCCACACTTCTGAGCTTTGGCCATTCCAGCACTTTCTGTGATTGAGACATACCTGTGGTTGCCCAAGGGGAGGTCAGTGAGTAGCTGATGAGCAGTTTAGCCAGGAAGATTCATTTTTTGTCGACTACAACATATAATCTGAGTCCTCTCTACCAGCTGGCAGAGAACATGACAAATCTATGCCTCAAAATACTCCACCACTTCAGCAGCTCTGCAGTTAATTATTCCTAGCAACTTGCAGACGGGATAAGGTTATAAAAATATATAAAACAAAAGGGGTTTTCTGCTTTGATAAGATCTCGAAGAAAAGTACAGAACAGCAAAATATTTTCCCCAAATATCCAGTAGCACACGAGTTCTCCTTGTTGTCTTTGAATCATCTGAAGTTTTATGTTTATAACGTAACTGTCCAAGTTTTGAGGTGACCTTAATTTATAAGCACAATGAAAAAAACTTTCTGAATGGTAGGATTTATAGGGAATAAGGAATCACTTGACAGGATGAAAAAGAAAAGGGAAAAATAAAAGCAGGATTTGGGGTGGAGAATGGCTCTGTTCATGGGCCCTGTCAGTACCATCCATTTGGTACAAGTCAGAGCAGAGGAATTTTCTGGAGAAATGTCTGTATCAACAGCTACAAAACTACTTCTTATTACTTGGCCCCAGGCTTTTCATAAGCTTAGAGATATTGTAAAGGCAGAATTCTTTGCCTTTGCACATTTCAAATATTTTAAATAATTTCTAAAGAGTTTTTTTTAATGGTACTGAGATTTGTCTCTCGTGGATGGTTCTGGTCATTATGAATAAGGTACAAGATGGTTCTATTTTCCAGTATTGTCTTTGACTGATTAATGCCTCATTTAAATTCTCAGTCAGTGAAGATCTGATATGATTTTAGCTATTTCCCTTAATTGCCTTTGTGTTGTAATTTGACTTTAATTTTATAATTTTAATTAAAAAAAAAACTGTAAAAGCCCAGTATCTAAATAGTTTCCTAACATTAATTTTACTTTATGAAAAGAAAATAATTGAGTGTGGAGTTTCTAAATTGCTGCTTTTAGTCATTGAGATCCTGATAATGGTGAGAACTTGTTATCTTTGTATAGCACTTTAGATAATTAGGAAAAAAATGAGATGTGGTGGTTGTTACCTTTTTCCTAATTGGGCTTCTGCCAGCACCAGCTTTGGGTGTTCCTCACACTGAGGGAACAACTGGGAGGCCAAGAACTAAACAGATGTGGAGAGCAAACCCTTGTTGAGGACTCGATAATCTTACAGGTCTTTTCCAACCTTAACAATTCCCTGATTCTATGAATTTAATAAAAGGAAACAACTTTTTCTCTCTTCTTTTTTTTTTTTTTAAATTTAGTTAGGAACAACCCTCAACTTAAATTCTCGAAGATGGCGTGGGTACAATTTGGAGGTGTCATAGGGGATGTTCTGAACATGCTAACTATCAAAAAAGATAGGAGAAAATCCAAAAGGGACCTTCCCCAGTTGGAAGCAGGGAATTGATAGTTGCTAGAAATACAAGAGGGCTGCAGAAAGCTGGGGCTGTGTCCAAGAGAAGAAAATGGAAAAGATCAATACCTGGCAGATTGAACAGGAAGGTGTGCCAAAAAAGGGTTGGGAGAAGGGCATGAGAGCTAATAAATTCTTTTGCAGGCAC